TTATTGCAAATATGGTTGGTTCATAATCTTTGCTGAAAACTTGAATGCTGGCTTTACATATTTAGAACAACAAGATCAAACGGAGTTTGTAAAAGTTTTTATTTATCACTTTCAGTTTGTCAACTGAATTGCTTGAGGACAAGCAAAGGTTTAAGCTTGGGGGAGTTGATACGTCTCCATCGTATCTACTTTTCCAAACACTTTTGACCTTGTTTTGGACTCTAACTTGCATGATTTGAATGAAACTAACCCGGACTAACGCAGTTTTCAGCAGAATTGCCATGGTGTTATTTTTGTGCAGAAATAAAAGTTCTCGGAATGACCTGAAAATCAACGGAGACACATTCTGGAATAAATAAAAAATATTGGCGAAAGAACCAACACCAGGGGGCCCACACCCTGTCCACGAGGGTGCAGGGCGCGCCCCCTGCCTCGTGGCCCCCCTGAGGCTCCACCGACGTCAACTCCAACTCTATATATTCACGTTCGGGGAGAAAAAAAATCAGGGAGAAGGAATCATTGCGTTTTACGATATGGAGCCACCGCCAAGCCCTAATCTCTCTCGGGAGGGCTAATCTGGAGTCCGTTCGAGGCTCCGGAGAGGGGAATCCGTCGCCATCGTCATCATCAACCTTCCTCCATCACCAATTTCATGATGCTCACCGCCGTGCGTGAGTAATTCCATCATAGGCTTGCTGGACGGTGATGGGTTGGATGAGATTTATCATATAATCGAGTTAGTTTTGTTAGGGTTTGATCCCTAGTATCCATTATGTTCTAAGATTGATGTTGCTATGACTTTGCTATGCTTAATGCTTGTCACTAGGGCCCGAGTGCCATGATTTCAGATCTGAACCTATTATGTTTTCATGAATATATGTGAGTTCTTGATCCTACTTTGCAAGTCAATAGTCACCTACTATGTGTTATCATCCGGTAACCCCGAAGTGACAATAATCGGGACCACTCCCGGTGATGACCGTAGTTTGGGGAGTTCATGTATTCACTAAGTGTTAATGCTTTGTTCCGTACTCTATTAAAAGGAGGCCTTAATATCCCTTAGTTTCCAATAGGACTCCGCTACCATGGGAGGGTAGGACAAAAGATGTCATGCAAGTTCTTTTCCATAAGCACATATGACTATATTCCGAATACATGCCTACATTGCATTGATGAACTGGAGCTAGTTCTGTGTCACCCTATGTTATAACTGTTGCATGAGGAATCGCATCCGACATAATTATCCATCACTGATCCATTGCCTACGAGCTTTTCACATATTGATCTTTGCTTAGTTACTTTTTCATTGCCACTGTTACAATCACTACAAAACCAATACTATTACTTTTGCCACCGTTACCGCTGCTTCCATAATTACTTTGCTACTAAATACTTTGGTGCAGATATTAAGTCTTTCAGGTGCGGTTGAATTGACAACTCAACTGTTAACACGTGAGAATATTCTTTGGCTACCCTTGTGTCGAATCAATAAATTTGGGTTGAATAATCTACCCTCAAAAATTGTTGCGATCCCCTATACTTGTGGGTTATCACGTGCCCTGGTGGGTAGTGGGCTCCTCGGCCCACCTCTGATGCTCATCTTCTGGTACATAAGGTCTTCTGACCTAGACAAAATAAGGAGAGGACTTTTGGGACGGAGCGTGATGACCCACAAGTATAAGGGATCAATCGTAGTCCTTTCAATAAGTAAGAGTGTCGAACCCAGTGATGGGCGGAAGGAAATGACAAGTGGTTTTAAGCAAGGTATTTTTTGCAAGCACTGAAATAGTCGGTAACAGGTTGTTTGATAGCAAGACAACTTGTAACGGACAAGTAACAGTAATGGTAAATAAAGTGCAGCAAGGTAGCCCAATCCTTTTGTGGCAAAGGACAGGTCAAAACGGTCTCTTATAAGAAGCAAAGCATTCTTGAGGGCACTGATACGTCTCCAACGTATAATTTTTTATTGTTCCATGCTATTATATTATCTGTTTTGGATGTTTTATATGCATTAATATGCTATTTTATATTATTTTTGGGACTAAACTATTAACCTAGAGCCCAGTGCCAGTTTCTGTTTTTTTCCTTGTTTTTGAGTTCCGCTGAAAAGGAATACCAAACGGAGTCCAAACGGAATAAAACCTTCACGATGATTTTTCTTGGACCAGAAGACACCCAAGAGACTTGGAGTGCAAGTCAGAAGAGCGACAAGGCAGCCACAAGGGTGGAGGGCGCGCCCAGGGGGTAGGACGCGCCCCCTACCTTGTGGGCCCCTCGATGACCCCTGACCTAGATCTTCCTCCTATATATTCACATATATTCCCAAACCACCAGAAGCATCCATGAAAACACTTTTCCACTGCCGCAACCTTCTGTTCTCGTGAGATCCCATCTAGGGGCCTTTTCCGGCATCCTGCCGGAGGGGGATTCGATCACGGAGGGCTTCTACATCAACTCTATTGCCCTTTCGATGAAGCGTGGATAGTTTACCTCAGACCTACGGGTCCATAGCTAGTAGCTAGATGGCTTCTTGTCTCTCTTTGATTCTCAATACCATGTTCTCCTTGATGTTCTTGGAGATCTATCCGATGTAATCTTCTTTTGCGGTGTGTTTGTGGAGATCCGATGAATTATGGATTTATGATGAGCTTATCTATGAATATTATTTGAATCTTCTCTGAATTTTTTTATGCATGATTTGGTATCTTTGTAATTCTCTTCGAACTATCGGTTTGGTTTGGCCAACTAGATTGATTTTTCTTGCAATGGGAGAAGTGCTCAACTTTGGGTTTAATCTTGCGGTGTCCTTTCACAGTGACAGTAGGGGGCAGCAAGACACGTATTGTATTGTTGCCATCGAGGATAAAAAGATGGGGCTTTACATCATATTGCTTGAGTTTATTCCTCTACATCATGTCATCTTACTTAATGCGTTACTCTGTTCTTCATGAACTTAATACTCTAGATGCAGGCAGGAGGCGGTCGATGTGTGGAGTAATAGTAGTAGATGCAGAATCGTTTCGGTCTACTTGACACGGACGTGATGCCTATATTTCATAATCATTGCCTTAGATATCGTCATAACTTTGCGCTCTTCTATCAATTGCTCGACGGTAATTTGTTCACCCACTGTATTATTTGCTATCTTGAGGTCTTCTTTTTCAATCCCTAGCAAATCAACAAGTTTCAGTGGCTAGAGAGAGATCGGGCAAGAAAGCTTGAAGGGCATCAATGAAGGAGAGAGAGAGACAAGAGGTAAAAAGGAAGGGGGGAGAAACACCCCCTTATATAGGTTCCCCCAAATCGAACCGTTGCAACAATTTTTATATTGCAGCGGTACAACTGCCTGAGTCATCGGTACAACCGGGAATCACGGGGTACACTGCAGAAATGTGCCAAGCGGAACAACCGCTGGTCGCCCCGGTAGTACCGGTTGTTCGGAGTCACCCGAGAACAACCGGTCCACTACTGCCCAATAACCACCTCATCACCGAAGGGCATCACCCCCACAACGGTGGTTGGGGTGGTGCAACCGCCTGACCATGGTTTATGGGGTGGCTAAGTCTAGGGTGGTACAACCGCCACTGGACACCGGTTGTACTGGTTCATAAAAACCGTTCGGGAACTACTGGGCCACCACCGCCCAACAACTGCTCCACTATAGAACGGAATTTGGTAGTTGAGCGGTGCTGCGTCGGAACAATAGCCGAGCGCCAGATATAGGGAACAGCCAAGGACCTGGCGGTACAACCGCCCGGAGGCAGCGGTACAACCGCTTGACAATCTCCTGGAGGCGACAAACCCTAGGATATCACCCATAGGGACGGTGGTTGTGCCGGAACAACCAGTCAAGCGGTACAACCGCTGGGCAATAAAAATCACTCTCACAGAAAGACATTGGGGGCCTCTCTCCTCAAACGGAAGGGTGTATAGTGGGTGCAAAGGAATGTGTACGTGCATTGATTCACCCAGTACCTTTCGATGCGGATTCCCTCTTAATAGTACGGGTTTCCTACGACCAAAGAAATAAAACACGTCGAAAACACCGTCTTCGATCTTTTTCGTCTGGAGGGAATGCCGAACCGTCTTGCACCAAACAAAGTGCACCTGAGTAACTTGGCACACGATTAGTCCGCAAATGTGAGTTGTCATCATCACCAAAACACACTAAGGCGGGAAATGCCCTAACACGGTCCAGCCTCCCTGTCCCGCCTGGGCCAACACGAGGGCGCGATCAAAACTGCGGCATGATGGTGGCCCCGATCGTGCCTATGGTCCTCCTGTCACGGACCGCCGAGGCGAGTCGCTCGGGTGTACGCCGTCCGCCCCCGGAGGCGGCATGCCACCACGAAACATATGTCGTGTAGGGCATTCTCGCCCGCGAAGACTCACACTAGGCGGGTACTCCAGCATCCTTTATAAGAGTAATTCTCGTAATCAAAACTCTTGTAATGGCAAATTTTGGTAGACAAGGGCGAATTGTTTTATAGCTTGGGTATGGTCAAAGTGTGTTTTTGATATTGTCACGCGTGATTGTAACCTTTGATTGAGTAATGCAAGAATTATTTCGTAAAAAAATAATCGGTTCGTGCACTTTTCCCACGCTCTGGTCCGCGGAAGAAAACACTGCAGGCTACGGCTGCCGCACGCTGCATCGAAGCTGGCCGGCTTCATAGAACAGCATGATCTATCCAAACACTCCAAAAATGCTAAAAAACACTCCAGAAGGATTCTCAAAAGAACAGTCCAAAAGTTACTGAGATCCAGTTGACACATGCAAAACCATCGGTTTCCAATATTTAGGTCTAACTCAAATTCAAACTGCTTTATCACACCAAATTTTTATACTAAACAACATTAATGTGGCAAGAAAGAGTAAAGATAGAAATTTCACTGCACGAGCACACGCACTGACCGACAGACACAAAGGACACACGCAGCGCAATCCACCGACACACCACCACCTCCCGTACAGAGGTCCACCGCGAAGGACTAAGCGGCTATGCCAGAGCGGCGGCCACGGCCACGGCGACAGGCAGGACTGCGGCCCATGGCAGACACGGGGCGGCGGACGCCGCGCTCTTCTTAGAATTCTTCCTCTGGTCGGCGGGCGACGCGTCCTCGGCGGCCGGTCCGGGCGCGTCCGCTACAGGCCGGTGGCGCGCCTGCTTCTTGGGGGCCTTGGGCGCGTCCGCGACAGGGGCGGGAGCCGGCGCCGGCGCCGGGGAGTCCGCCGGCTCGAAGAGCTCCACCGGCTCGAGCACCGTGTCGACGGCGTAGATGGCGATGGGGTCCTTGTCGTAGACGGTGGACTTGACCCGCGCGGCGTGGTCAGAGGCGTCCGTCTTGATGGTCACCTGCTCGCCCTCGTTCTGCACCGTGAAGTTGAAGTTGTTGGCGGAGCCGTCGGTGGCGAGCGTGTTCATGACGCCGTTGTTGGACTTGAGGCTCCGCGGCGCGTAGTACACGGGCACGGCGTGGAACAGCAGCAGCGACGCCTTGCCGTCGGCGCTGAGGTTCTTGTACCTGGGCATGAAGGACCTCACGGCGTCGTCGCTGGGGCAGAAGGCCGTCACGCCGCCGTCCCCGGCCGACTGGAACGTGGAGTGCGCGTCCGGCGAGGCCGCCACCAGGGCCGCGAACGCCTTGCACCCGCCCTTGGCCATCGCCGCCGTGATGTTCGGCGGGGCCGGCGGGCCAACGGGCGCCTTAGCTGCCGCTGCCGCTGCCTTGCCCCCGGCCGCGGAGACGGCGAGGGGGAGGAAGACGGCGAGGACGGCGGCGGCGAGGTGGAGGCGGCGCATCATGGCGAGTGTCGGCGTGGGAGCGAGGCAGTGGAGTGGCCGAGTGGGAGAGCTGTGCAGTGATGAACTATGACCACTGACGAGTGTCGAGTGTGATAGGGTGCGAGGTGAGCTGGCTTTGTGAGGGCCTGCCCTTGGGGTTTACCACCAATATCAGAGATTGCCATTCAGGTTAAAACATCGTGATTTTGTAGTGGTTACCATTTTTCCTTTTTGGCAAACTGTGGCGGTTGCTTGATCTCTTGTTTTCTTGTCCCCGGGTCCTGTTGTCCATTTCTTCAACTCCTTTGCCCATTTAATGTCCCCTTAATTCTACTTAAACAGCAATATGGTCAGAAGGAATTGCCATCGGTAACCTACTCCCTCCGTCCTTTAAAGAGTATATTTTCAATTTTGTTGAAGGATCAAACTATCTCAAAGTTTGATCGAGTTTGTGCAAAAATATATCAATGCTTGTGAAACCAAATAGGTATATGACAAAAATATATTTTATCATGAATCTAATGCTACTAATTTGATGGCATAAATATTGGTCTATTATTGAATAAATACGGTCTAACATAAAAAAGTTTGACTTTTCAATAAAGTTCAAAGTACACTCTTTCTTCTTTCAAAGACGAAGGGAGTATAATGAAAGTTTAATTTTGTGAACCTAGATAGATATGCAGTAAATTTTGAGGTCCTCAAGTTATAACCATTGCAGGTACTCGTTTAGTACTAAGTGCAGGACTTACAAACCGACAATTCAAAATGCTGACATATTTACTGGGTTGGAGAGTGGAGTGAAAAATATGTAAGCATTGTGAGGTATCAATTACTGGTGCTCTTAAATACAATCACTGAGGAAACAGTACGTTCACGTGGCATTGATTGATACTAGTCCTTGTATACCACATCGATATAAGGTGATCTTCAGAATTTTTACCTTGGTATGTTTTTGTAGTACCTATTTAATCATAGATTACATAACATGTATTATCCATGTACTTGAACATCAGCCAGAAGCGTGCCATTTTCCATGCCATCGAAACGTCTTATCAATTTATAGGATCTCGTGTTCAAAAGCTAGCAGAAATTAATCAACCACCGTCAGCATAGTGTAGCTTGTAGATTTTTATGACTCATGTAGTAGAATAATGGTCAACAGTATGTTTCTGTTATAGCAAGACTAGTTCAGTTGTTTTTAGGAAGTTAGGTTAATTTATGAAGTAAATTGCAAAAAACCACTACATTAGGGGACGCTAAAACAGAAAACCATCACCTTTCGTTTTTTTTCTTCAAAAAACCACCACGTTTGAGCTATAGTTTTCAAAAAACACTGATCGCACGGTTTGACGCGTCTGAGTGAAAAACTGACCGGTTGGGCCCGCTGTCAGGTGCCACGTGGACAGGGGAGACGGCGCCCGTGACGCGCGCTGTTAGATGGCGTCGCACATGACCTAACGAGCCGGCCCGACCCAGCCATTTCCCCCAGATCGCATCTAGTCGTCCTAGCTCACTTCCCGCATGGCGACCGGCGGTGGCGGCGGCGGCGTTGCCGACGGAGGCGCATCCGGTGACGGTAGGGACGACCGCGACCTCGCCATCGTCGATGTTGGTGGCCGCCCCGTCCTTCCTCACTCTCCAACGGCGCTCCCTGATACGTTTGGCGCCTCTCGGTCCGCCGGCATCGGCGGAGATGAGCGCGGCGAGGATTGCAACATCTTCAAGTCCGACGACATTGAGGCACGTGCGGCCGTCAAACTGGCCCAGGTTTGGAAGGCCAATCCAGGGCGGAGCCACCACTTCACATCTGGCCTCAGCGGCGTGGAGTGAGTGTTTCCAAAATTCCCTTTTTGATTATGCCAGTGTAGTTGAACAATTTGAGTGATTATGCTAGTGTAGTTGAACACTTTGAGTGATTTGCTACTGTAGCTATACTCTTTCCTCTATATGAATCTTAATTTAGGAATTAGGGTTTGAATCTCATTTTCAACAGTTGAACAGAATAATTGTGATGAAGTGAATGTACTGTGAAGTGAATATGAGCTTAATTGTGGATAACTGAATTTAGTTTTAACTTAGCTCAGTTGTGTTAATTGAATTTCTGAATGATTTTTACTGTTAACTGAATATGAACTTAATTGTGGTTAACTGGATTGACTGTTAACTGAATTTACTGTTAACTGAGCTCAACTAACTGAACTGAATGCAATCTTCTGTTCACTTTGTTGTTTCTCTGAATGTAACCTTGACTGTTATCTAAATTTGTTGTTCACTGAATGGTGTTAACTGAATGTAATGCTAACTGAACTTGCAGTTGGAACCATCACTTGTAGCAAATGTGGGAAGCAAGGGCATAGATACACAAACTGTGGTGATCAATTGAAGCCAACCCTTGCTGCTAGGAAGAACAAGCACAAGGTATAATAATTAATTGTTGTGCTTGCCATGTTTAGTTTTGTCTATAATATTGTACTGAAAAAAAAATGCAAATCCTTGACATGTTTTAGGAAGCAAGAACTGCCCCTCCATCTGGTGCAAGAGCAACTACTGCAGCTTCTGGTGCTCCTAGAACTGCTTCTGGTGCTCCTAGAATTGTTGTTGCTCCTCCTAGAACTGCTACTGCTCCAAGAACTGCTAATGCTGCTCCTAGAACTGCTGCAGCTCCCAGAGCTGCTGCATCCTCATCTGCTCAAACAACTGCTGCTTCCTCATCTGCTCCAAGAACTGCTACTGCCTTCACTGCTCCAAGAAGAGCTGGTTCTTCTTCATTTGCTCCTCCAAGGCCTGCTGCTGGTGGTGCATCTGGTTCCACAAGGGTTAGGAAGAAGCCAAGCAAGTTCAGAGACTACTTCTATGCTAGTGGCAATTAGTTAGGCTTGATATGTTCTGTATTTTGGGCAAAACTTGTGCTGTGGTAGCAAGTTAATCATGTTATGTTCTGTATTTTGGGCAAAACTTGTGCTATGGTAAGCTATGGTAGACTTGATATCTTGCTGTCATGTTGGCAAGCTTTGGTAGACTGGACATGTTGAACTTGCTCTTGTTGATATCTTGCTGTCATGTTGGCAAGCTATGGTATTTTGGGCAAAACTTGTTGTGATGATTATGATCTTTTAATGATGTTGCTGTGATGATTATGCTCTTCTAATGATTATGCTCTTTTAATGATTATGGTCTTCACAAAGTGGTTGGTTCCTCTTTAGGCTAACCCTATCCTCTCGACAACCGTCGACGAAAGGCACCAACCTTTTTAGGCTAACCCTATCCTCTCGACAACCGCCGTCGAAAGGCACCAACCTTTTTAGGCTAACCCTAACCTCTCGACAACCGTTGACGAAAGGCATCAACCTCTTTAGGCTAACTCTACCCTCTCGACAACCGTCGACGAAAGGCATCAACCTTTTTA